AACCATCCATTTCCTTGGCAGCATCCTCCAAGTAGAGATGATCACATAGCTAAGATGCTAGAGGGCCATAACAAAGAGTGGTGCTTTTTTCCTCAAGTATCCTCCTCTACAACAGACACTCAAGTTTCTCCTGAGCCTGGTGGGAAGCTCTAAGGGTGTTACATTCCATTTGTTCCTTGGAATGAGTTGGAAGGCAGGAGTCAGCCCTGAATCATGGACACATCTACTGATGTGCTTTGAGATCCTTGTCTAGAGACGCAGCTCCCTTGTCTTTACAGTGGCTTTTCTCCACGTCATCTTTAGCTTGCAATGATATAGAAAAGACAAGGGAATGGAAAGGGAAGGCTGGGAAGTATTGCTAAGGAGGAGTCTGCTATCCCCACTGGCGTCTGACACCCAGTTAGCGTGTGGAGCGCATTCTGCATGTCAGGCCTGAGGGAAGGCACTCCGTGCATGTTATCTGGGCACTTCTTGCTGGAAGCACTGTGATGTGCCAGAGTGTTCCATCCACCCTGAGAGGGGCTGCGACACATTTGTCAAAGCCTGTCTGTTGTTTACAATGTGTATTTCAGCCTAAAATTTGGTGCATGTTAAACACAGCAAAGTGAGTGAATGGTTCTGCCCATTTTTTTGTAGATGAGGTAATCAAATGTCAAGGGCTTGACAGATCAAACTGCATGAGGCATGGCTGGGATTGTAATGTAGATTGTCATATCACATATTTGCAGCTGTGACTAAAATACTCAAAGGACTGCCTATAGTAAGGATTTACTTATTTGGTCTCGTGGTTTCAGATGTTGACTCCATATGTTTTTGCCTCAGTTTCCTGGGATGAGATGAGACATCTCATGGTGATAGAAGTATCTGGAACAGAGCCATTCAATTCAGGGCAACTAGGAAACAAAGCAAGACATAATCGAGAAGCCAGGACAAGTTGTAAATGTAGGGAAGGCCCTTGGGGACTGATTTCCTCTTCCCACATTCTCACCCCCTCCCAAGGATCCATTCACAAATGTCATTGTCTGGTGTCTGTGACAAATCACCCAACAAAAGCAATTTAAAGAAGGTTTACTTCGTTCACAGTGTGAGGGGAGGTGTAGCAGGAACATGAGGCAGCTGGTCACAATGCTTCCATAATTGGGAGCAGAGTGGAGGAAGAGGGAGGGAGGGAGAGAGAAAGAGACATAGACAGACATGGAGACAGACAGGCAGGGAGACACAATCAGAGAGGTGGAGAGATAGAGAGAAAGCAAGAGAAAAAGAGAGACAGAGAGATGGAGACAGAGATAGAAAGAGATAGACAGATAGCCATACACAGAGATAGACACTGAGAGACACATAGATAGACAGACAGACAGATAGATTTGATACTCAGCTGGCATCCAGCTTCCCCTTTCTTTTCTATTCAGTTTGAAACCCCAGCCCATGGGATGGTACTATCCAGCTCAGGAAGAACTCTCCCTCAATTGAGCCTCATTTCCATCTAGAGGTATACTGCCTATATGATTCCAAATCTAGTCATGTTGATAGTGAGGATTAACCATGACCCTATATACATGTGAATCTACCAGATTAAATGATTGGGTAGAGTGGAGCCTCGTGATCTGGCTGTTTCAAGAAATTCCCTCCCAGACACACGCAGGCCTGTGCCTTGTTCATGTCTTAGTAACCTTTCAACCCAGTGAAGTTGACCATAAAGATGAACCCTCACACAGATCTGCATCCTAGGAGAAAAGATGAGGCAATCTCTCCTATTTCTGTGCTCAGATTCTAATTCTACAGCAAACGAGACGTTATACCGAGGTATTCTGTAGAACTCTCTATGGCGATGGATCCTCTAACCCTGCACTGTGGAATACGGTAGCCATTGGTGGAATTGGCAGCTGAAGTCTCAGGATGTGGCTGGTGTAACCAATGAACTGGATTTTTTTTTAGCCACATTAGACATATTCCCGCCAGAGACACGGCACCACAGCCTCAACCCAGCGTCGGGGTAGTGCCAGTTTACAGTCAATGATGACACCTGGCAAAACACATCAGATCGCCAAATGTGTCACTCACTGCTCAGCACCTGCACTTCCCGGGGATGAAAGGGAAATTGAAAGAGCTGAAGCAGAAAGACTATTGATTTTTAATCCCTTTTTATCATCTAAGAATTTCAAGGTGTATTCCTCATGTCATTCCATCCTTCCCCTGGGAACCGGGAGAAACTGACCTGCAAGCCCCTGATAGCATAGAGTGAAGGGAACTAAGTGTAGTTAAAGAAAACCTTTCTAGACAACATCATTTTTCCCCCAGCGAAATGTTTGGATCTTTAGTAGCTATTATTTCCCTCTGAATTTTTGCCAAGAGAGGATTTTTTTTAAAGTAGATTAAATCATTAATCCATTAAACAGCGATTTAATCTCTAGGCCTTCGTTCTTCCAAACTTTCCTCATCACATAGCAGAAGTGGGCCACATAAGGGCTGGAAGACAGTGTAAGCTTTCTCCAGGCAAAATTGACGAAGATGAAAGAGCTACTGCTTATTCAAGTTGTGAAGTATGTGTATCCCTTAGGTCAGTAAGTATAGTCATCACCATAATCATGTCATTGAAATCCTCTCCCATTTTACAGGTGGCAATGACATCTGTAAATTCTAGATAGGGTACCAAAGTCAGACCAAATACAATTCCAGAAAAATCCCACTCTGGTGAGCCAATGAATTTCTTGGGCATATGGGCATGCTTGCAGAACATGTTTGAAGGTTACTTATAGGAAGTGGGTGATCCCCCAAAAGGCTACATCACTACAAAGTTCCACTACGTCATGGGTGATGCCCTCATAGAGGGTACATCATGGAGTCTCCTTTCCAGTTAACACCTTACATCTTCTAGTATCTTCCAAAATCACTTGCAGTTTGGCAGAGGGTGGGAAGGAGTAATAGCTGGAGGATTTTGTGACCCTACTCTACCCCTTCTTCTAGGGAATATGGGTAGCTCTGTTAGACTCAGTTATATCTCCACATTTTTGTTGGTTAATGGCCACAGCTATGGCAATGCATTAAATGTGCTATACCCAGAAGGTGAAACAGGTGACTGAACTGGAATTTGCACCCATGTCTTTCCAGGTCTGCTCGTGGGGCTTTTTCTCTGTCCCTTGCGTCTTCCGGTCATTTCACAGATGAGAACAGAGACCCAGAGAGAGCAATAACCAGAAAGCTAGATCCTGACCACCACCATGTGCCTCTTGTCTCTGCTCCATTCAGTGCTGCTCTTTGACCACAGATTTATAACCCCACACCCAGCTTGCGGATATCACCTTCTTATCAACATTGCCCCATTCCCAGGAAAAGGAGAAGCAACGCCCGATTTCTCAGGAAAAAATGAAAACATCTTAATTTATCTTTTGACAATCATTCTTTCATAACTAGTTCTGACCTTCCCTGAACTTCTCAACCCCAACAAAACTCCTAAATCTGTGAGAGTCTAGTGTTTATATTCTTTCTACGTTTTCAGAATGGAATAACCCGCTTCTCTCTCTCTCTCTCTCTCTCTCTCTCTCTCTCTCTCTCTCTCTCTCTCTCTCTCTCTCTCTCTCTCTCACACACACACACACACACACACGATGTAAATTATATTCATGTATAGCAACAAAGGTACCTTGGCATTAAATGCAAATATGTTTATTATAGCAATATTCCTTACAGTGAAAAGTGCAAACAACTTACATGATCACCCAAAATAAAAAATGTTAAAAATAAAGTACTTTTATCCTACAAACTAGTATAAAGTCAGTAAAGCAGAAATAGGGGCCCTGTTATAGGACCATTGGTGCCCTGTGATGGGACTAGATGAAAGAGTAATAGAGTCTATCTCCACTTCTTATGCAAAAGCAAGTTTTGCACTAATTTATGAAATAAAGTGAAGTAGCACTTGCCTGCTCCCCCCCTTTTTATTTTGGTTTTACGAGACAGGGTTTCTCTGTATTGTTTTGGAGGCTGTCGGTCTAGCCTGGCCTCGAACTCACAGAGATCCGCTAGCCTCTGAACCTGCTCCCCTTTTAAAACATTCCCAGTAAATGATAGTAGAATAAATTCACAGTGAATTTGTAGTCAGAGGCCAGTTGATAAAAGTCTGACTGGGTCCTTCAGACTTCAGTATTCCTATCTATAAAGTGGGAAGATTCTGCCTGTCATAGGGTAACATGTTAAACTGATTCTGCCTGTCATAGGGTAACATGTTAAACTGATTCTGCCTGTCATGGGGTACCATGTTAAACTGATTCTGCCTGTCATGGAGTACTGTGTTAAATCAATGGCTGCATTCCCTGCAACTCCATGGATATGGGAGCAAGAGACACGAGGCTCTGCTGTAAGCACAGAGAGCCGAGCAGCCTCTGGTGCCACCCTAGCTGAAGAGGGGATGGAGTGCCGCTCTGCTTAGGCAAGCTGGTCTAGCAGTCCAGTCCTGACCTTGTCAACACAGTTTGCAGCAATCCACCCACGCAGAGGCAGCCGTGGAGAGGCAGGACTGTTGTGGGCTTCCTCCAGAGCCTTCCTAAATGTGCAGCTTCTGTTAAACCAGAAATACTAGACAGCATCACGATTACTCTTGGCCACAGAAGCGTGGAGTAAGGGGCAGGGACTTCTGATCGTTACCAACCATTCAGGGGCCATTTCAAGGTCTGGTCAATGGACAACGCAGTTACTATTTACAAAGCAAACTATTGTCATCAAATGTACTATCTCTATGTACTACTGCAGGTCACTGAGGAATAACTTCATCTTGTCCTCCAGGGCCATATGGGTTAGGATCTAGACTATATATCTGAGCTGCATCTGTAAGCCCCAAATTCAGAGTCTTGTGGAGTGGCTAAGAACAACCTTCCAAAGGTGGTAAGCAAAAGAACACGTTTTCTCAGGTGAAATCTTACCTGGAAACCAGTACATATTAAATACCTTGATGGTAGTTGCTTGTTGTGTAACTTTAAAAATCAATTTTAATGAATAGAAAAATTCAATCAGTGACAATAATTGAATTTTAATAAATGAGGTTACATTGGGAAGGGTATGTGGGAGGGAATGGAGGAAGGCCAGATAATCGGCACCAAAACCCAATTAGATAAGACAAACTCAAGTGTTTCAACGGCAGTCAGGGCTGTGGTCACTTCCTGGGGCCGAGCAGGATGGTGAGCGACGGTGACCCAGACCCCGCTCCTAGTCACTGGAGAGAATCAACACTGAGTCTTGGAGACCTGTGGAAGCAGAGTCTCGCTTTAGTGTAACAGGCATGCGCTTATATAGAGTTGGAAAAGTGGGTGGGGACCTACCTCAGGATGGGTGAGGGCCAATAATATTCCACCACATTTGCAGTAGCAAGGCAGAGGCAGTTTCGCTGAGTCACTCCTGCGCAGAAGTGATAGTTCAGAGACAGGTCTCCAAACTCTAGCCCGCCTCAGGAAGTTCCACTAGGCCTTCTGTCGGGCCTTTTTAGGCCCAACATCTCAGTGCAGCAGGGTGACTGCAGTTCACAGCAACTTATTTCATATTTGAGGATTGTTGGAACTTCCGGCATCATGCTGACCTCACCCCCCTGACGAAGGGTGGGCCACACACAGTGACTTGGCTATGTCAGTCATACGGGCTCCTTAAGGACTCAGTAAGCATGCCAGTATGCACGAGTGAGCTCCCCGCATGCACGAGTGAGCTCCCCTTTTGAGCTCCGAGCCATCATCCCTCTCTCTCTTTACTCTTACTCTTCACTCTATCACCCTCTTACTCTGCCCTTCGCCCTGTCCCCGTGCCTCCCTCTCTCCCCCTCTCGCTCTCCCACCGCTGCAATAATGCACTCTGTGGCTTGTGCTCCATCGCGCAGGTCCCGGTTCCATCTCGCGTCTTTCACTCTCTTTCTAATTTTTGAACTTTTACAAAAGAACAACACGGATGAACTAGAGGGAGGAGTGCAAAGGCTCCAAAATAAAGAAATTCAAAGGAGGTGGGCATATGGATTGCATGATGTGATCCATACTCTACACGTGTTTTGAACTATCATGATCACCCTGTATAACCCTGAGATGTCAATAAACCAGCTCAGTCAGGAATCATGGGTGGCAGCTATTTTCTTGTTACCAATATCAGTATCTGATATGTTTGCACTTTATTTTGCTGCCCAGTAATATTTCACCACTGCTCTGAGTTCTTTAAACAGGAGAGTTCATCTAAGCCTTGATTCCCTATTTCCAGGTGAGGAACTAGAAGCCCAGAGACCCAAATAAGCGGCTCATGGTCACACAGTAAGCTAGTAAGTGGCAGATATGGACAGTGCAACTCTTTAGTCTATGACTGAAGAAGGTACTTTCCTTTGCTATCCCTGATTAAAGCCTATGTGTGCATGAATGTATATATGTATGTATGATGTATAGACATAAATACATGCAAACACACATGCATATATATATGTATATATTTGCAAATGATAACTTTGGAATTGCTTGCTTGACAAGCTAGGAATATTTAATTAAGTTAGGAAAGTGAAAACCTGCATTCCAAGTTCTACATTAAAAAAAAAAATTAAAAAATGACCTGAATCTGAAAGCATCCTGCTAGGATTCAGAGAGCTGTTTGAGTAACCCAAACCTAGAGTACCAGTGATGTCTTGAAGAGCCAGCCAGGCTGTCAAAATCCATGTGTAGACAACCCACGGGAGTGTAGGAGACAAAAGACATTGGCTGGCAATTTACCAAATGGAAATCTCTAGTCTCTGGAACTACCAATATTCTCCATTACAAATCTTCCAGCTGGTAAACAGAATGATGCCACTGACATTTAATTGAAATGTCAGCACATTTAGAAAGAGCCCTGATGGAATTGCCAAGTGAAAGTTATCGCTGATGACTTGAGCTAAATGGAAACAGAAAATAACCACAAACACCCCCACATACACACACACACACACACACACACACACACACACACACACACACACACAAAACTCTTAGAGTTCCGGAAGGCAGACAGCGTCATCTATCCAAGAAAAATTTATGGATAGTTTGAAATGGACTTCTATTTTTGCTGTGGAAAAACTATGGGGTGATCGGAAAACCACTTGTGAAAGCTATCAGGTCTGAAACAGGCCAATGCCCCTGTAAATCAATTCAACAAGTATGCATTGATTAAACTGCCTTTGGATAGTAATTTACCTTACATTTATTTGCATAGCTTATAGTTTATAGAGGCTATGGTGGATTGCAAAAATGGCCTGATTCTTCGTCATTTCCCATATCCCTGCTATGTCATCCCTCTTTGCCATGAGTCGATTTGACCATGTGATTTGTTTTGGCCACTGGGTTGTTAAGAGATATGATGTATGCAGAGGCTAGCAAAGGGTTTAATGTGTCTATATTAATCCTTGTCCGATCCCATCCATCAATGTTCCTTAGAACAGAGCCCATGGAATCCAAGGAATGTGCCCATACCTAAGCCAAAGCAGTTTGTGATTGCAGCAAAGGTCATAGTATATCAGCAACAGATCTCTCCTTCGGGCACGTCAGCAAAACTGTTCAGAGGGCCTGTAGCCAAGCTGTGACACGGACAAGCAAGAATTCATTCAAAGCACCTGCACCACATCACCTGGACCCAGATGCATGAACTGATTGAATATGTACTCTCACAGGCCACCGTGGTTCTGCGGAGCACAATGTAACAGCAGCTGTCTGATGAGATGTGCCCCTTCAGAGCGTGGGGCAGGGCCTGTTTCCCGGGCTTTACGGAGAAGCACGCGGTGCTCCACACAGGTTTATCCCCGCAGCCGCAGTGTGCCTGTGATGCTCGCCCTTGCAACATGCGGCCTCTCTCAAACACTCAGCAAATAGCATTAACCTGGAGGCTGAATCCATTTTTCTCCTTTAGATCAAAGAGGCAGCCTTTATAGGTTGAAAGCACAGAGGGAGGGAAGTCTCAGAAGTCCCAAGGGCCTCAAGGCAGGAGCTTCACAGCGCTTGCCTCTGCAGCCTCCCTCGCCGTCTCCCACCCTGGGATCCCTCCTCCCGTCCTGGCTTCCACTCTGCTTTGAAGAGACTGGAGATCCAGGACACGTCAGACGCGAGCCTCTCTCACCATCTCTCTGCAGATTCCTGCACCAACACTCCAAATGCTTCATGATATCCAGCCAGGTAAGAAAACCTGAGGAAGTGGTGACAAAATGATGAAAAATAGCATTTTTGATCTCGTAGCCTCCCTCCTGGTTTCCTTCCCTGACCTCCACACTCATGACCCTATGGTCATCTGGAGCAATGTCTGCTTGTGTCCACTTTCTCATGGCTTCACAAGCAGAAGTGGTTGTCCCACCTGGAGCATTTTGAGCTTTGGGCTCCTAGTCCTACTCTTCTATATCGCTGGAATGTTCTCTTTCCTCAGCCTGGAGTGCCTCTTCTTTCCTGTAAGACATTTTGACAAAGAGAGTTGGGATGGCTGGGTAGAGCAGAGTAGATGTGTTTAAGTAGATCTTAAACACCTGTTCCTCCGGCCTGGAAAGGGCCCAGCACATGGATTGTAACGGCCTCTCTTAACTCACCTCCCATCCCCTCTTGCTACGAGCTCATCCGGAGCACATGTGTTCTGTTTGGCTCTTTGTATTTTTTCACATTTCTTCACCAACCTCCTCACCCCCAACTCTAATTGCTTAGAACAGAGCTTTGCATGTATTAGAAGCTCAGTGGTTGCAGACAATGCTGGCCTCCAAAGGCTAGGCAGAAGTGAGAGAAGACCATAGGTTGGACCTCTTTATTGTCCATAAAGACCAAGGATAAAGTGTAAGAGAAGACATGATGAGCAACTTATTGGCCCCATCTGTTTCTTTTGGGTTCCACGCTCCAATGTGGGAGGAGCATCAGCTAGATGCAAAAGCGTGAAACGTGATGGCAGGGAATGGGTGGGGAAATTGCGTAGGTGCTTTTGTTCTGCACACAACCTTGTAGGAAGAGAGTGTCCAAGATGGAGGCATGAGTGGTGGCAACAGAACAGGACACTGATGGACCTATTCTTGCAGGAGAATAATCGACTCAGCTCTCACACAGAGCGTAAAGCCCCATAGAAGGTATTTGGTAGAAGGACTTCATGGAGATAGCTCCAGTGTAGATTTAGCCAAGTTCTTCATCATGTCTTTCTCTGGTGTGAGACAGACAGACATACACACACACACACACACACACACACACACACACACACACACACATCTACTCAGTCCAGATAGGGAACCTATGACAGACCAAAGTAATGATTACACTTGAGTCAAACTTGGTGACCTTTGCACTGGGGTTACTTACAGGAGTGTGGGTGAGGAGTTACTCACATGAACAGGGACAACTGAAGAGCATCTGCACTGCTGAAAAGCTCACCCAGTACAGGTGACAGCTCAGGAAAGCTGCCCCCCTGCAAGTGCTTCCATGACTTACTGGCAGCTGAAGAGTGCTCCCTCTGCCCCCTCCTAACCTTGGGGGTGTGAAGCTTGTAAGTTTCATATTTCTCAGACATGTGAAGTTTGTTTGCTTTCTGGGTCTCAAGAACCTTCTGCCTCAGCTGGTCATTGGTGGTGCACGCCTTTGATCCCAGCACTCAGGAGGCAGAGGCAGGCAGATCTCTGAGTTCGAGACCAGCCTGGTCTACAGAGCAAGTTCCAGAACAGTCTCGAAAACAATACAGAGAAACCCTGTCTTAAAAACAACAACAAAAAACAAACAAACAAACAAAAAAAAACCTTCTGCCTCTTAAATGTTTCAAAACCAGGAAATCGTTACATTTTCCTGGTCAGTTGTAGAGCTCCCAACAGCGTCTAAGGCGAAAATGCCCTAACCATCTCCTTTCTGTTCTTAGAAGTATAGCAAAGGTATCGTCATAGACAGACTTTCATGTAGATATGTAGTGAGTCAACATATAAGCAAACACACACTTGCTCTTATGTTATTAAAAGAATACTCTGTGTGTGTGCACACGTGTGCATTCGCTCGAGTGCTTGTATGTGTGTGCATGCATATGCTCGTGAGTGTGCACATGTGTGTACACTTGTGCACACACATGTATATCGTTTTAATAAAATTTTATTTAAATTAGAAACTTTCTTATTTTACGTGTCAAATCCCAGTTCCCACCCCTTATCTATCCCCCAGGGAGGGTGAGGCCTTCCATGGGGGATCATCAAAGTCTGTCACATCATATGGGGTAGGGCCTAGGCCCTCCCCCATGTATCTAGGCTGAGAGAGTGTCCCTCCGTGGGGAATGGGCTCCCAAAGTCCATTCGTGCACTAGGGATAGATATTTGTTCCACTGCCAGAGGCCCCAAAGACTTCCCAGGCCTCTTAACTGTCACCCATGTTCAGGAGGCCTGGTTCGGTCCTATGCATGCATATCTTTCTATGTATTTCTTTTCTGGTCCAATAAAAGTCATGGAATTCTCTTCAAATCTTCTGGTAGTTTGCTACTGTTCCCTTGTTTTTATGCATACATACATGTAATGCATATAAATATACAACAGCGTATTCAGGTTGGTGTCATTATAAGCACCAATATCAAATTCAACAACAGTATGCATGGGTGTTTCCTGTTCTATCTTTAGAAGCTGCTATCTAACTTCCCTGGGATGGTTTCACAGAAGTAGGATTGCTAGATTACAGTTTCTATGTACTTTGGATATTAATAGGCATCGCTTGTTTACTACCAGAATACTGTTGCTCCATCCCTCTTCCAAGCAGCAATGTGTGAGGCCCCATTTCTTCCTCACAGTCTCTGCTCACAGCAGATATGATAGTTCTTTTTGATGCTTGCCAGTCTGGTGAGTGCAAAAAGATCCCTCATTGTTATTTTAATTTGGATTTTTTGACTGTCAGTGAAGTGAACATATTTTGAGCCATTTGCATATGCCCTTCTGTGAATCGTATTTTGGTGTAATCTGCTCTATTGATTGTGATTTTGTCTATTTGTCAATTTCTAATTTCTCTGCACAGTGGAGAAATTAACAATTTAAATACTGTTTGAATTACACTTTTGTAAGTATATTGTTATCTCTGTTATATCTTTTCCAAGATGCATAACCTAATGTTTTTGTTTCAGATATAAAAGTTACCATACTACTCACAATAGAAGTTACCTTTTTGAGTTCACAAGTCACTCATTGATTTTAGTAGAAACAAGGCTTTGCAAGCTTTCACCATTATCTAATTCTGGAATATACTAACCACCTGAACAAACGTCTGTCTTCCCTGGAAATCACAAATATGCTTTCTGTCTCTGTGGATTTACTTAGTCTTGCTATCTCATAGAAACAAATCCTGTAATATACGGCTCCTTCTGCTTCATTCATTTAGGATGTTTTCAAAGTTCACCATGTTGGAACAGGAACTGAAACTCTGTCCTTATTTCTGTACTAATAATATTCCATTGACTTTCAGTCTTCATGTCTTCCCCAATGGATGTTTGACAGTTTCCATCTTTGCATCTTTGGCCTAGGTGGAAGAGGGCTATGTGGACATTTGGATGAGTCTCTTCAAACAGGCTTTCAGTTCCTTTGGTCATATACGAAGAGATTGCATGACAGCTCTATGCTTAACTCATTCTTCCAACAGGGTAGGAAAGTTCTAGTTTCTGCTTGATTGTCTTTGCTATTATAGCTTCCTTTTTATGAAAATGAGAGCTGTCTTCCGTATCTCATTGTGGTTTTGATTTGCATTTTATTCACTAAGTATAATTATTGGTGATTTGTGTATCTTCAATAGAGAAATCGCTGCTCAAGTCTTCCCATTTTGACGTGTTAGTGATTGGATTTAGTAAGTATGTGCTCTACCATTGAGCCACAGCCCTAGCCATAACTCATTTTTAAATTGGATTGCCTTTATTAGTAGACTATAAAATAATTCCTTATATATTATAGATAAGATTAAATACCGTATATTATTGCAAATATTTTCTCTCATTCTCCTTGTTGACCATAATGGCTTTTAGGGACCGGTTTATAATTTGGTAAAGTCTAATTAATATATTTATCTTTCTTTGGTTGGCTATACTTTTGATGACGTAGATATTTTTTAAAAGCTATTTTAAAGCCAGGATCTGAATACCTGTGTTTTCTCTTATTTCATTGATCATTTTAGCTTTTAAATATAGGCCTTTGTGATTTAATTCTCACTTTTATGGAGTGAAATGAGGCTATCACTTCAGTCATCTGCATGCAAATACCCAGCTGTCCCCAGTGTCATGTGTTGAAAAGACAAGTCTTTCCAAACCTTAGCATCTTGGTGCCCTTTTTGGAAAGCAGATGACCAAATGTTTGTTTCTAGACTTGCCTTTCTGTGTTTGGACAGAATCTTCATCTTGCTGATCTCACAGGAAAGATTGTAGGTGGGTTCCTGGTAGATGCTGTTCCTCAGAAAATCTCCTCCTCTTATCAATATTCTCTTCCTTTTTAATCACAAGACAGTGTTGGAAATTTTTCAAGTTTTTTTCTGCATCCCCAGAAAAGGGCTTTCTGTGCTGATGTTCGTATGCTAAAGTAACCCTGGACTCTTAGGACAAGCACAGCTTGGTCAGGCCATATCAGCCTTTTTCTGAGGTGCCTGATTCAGTTTGCTAGTATTTTGCTGGAAATTTTCATATCTATAGTCATCAGGGATATTGGGCTGCAGTTTTCTTTTTTTTTTAGATTGTTTAATTTAAATTATAAACAAGCTTGCTTCTCATGTAATCCCAGCTCCCTCTCCCTCCCCTCCTCCTACATCCCCCCCCAGCAACGCCCCCCCCAGTTCCCCACCCAGTTCCCACTCTGTTCCCCAGGGAGGGTAAGGCCCTCCATGAGGGATATCCAAAGTCTGTCACTTCATTCAGGGCAGGGCCTAGGCCTTCCCCCAAAAGTCCAGGCTACAGTTTTCTTGTGATACTTTATCTCATTTTGAACTTGGCACTTGTGGGTTCAGATCCCTTCCTTATCACTAAAGGTCATGTTTGAGGCAATCATGTGGTTCTCTTTAGTCGGTTTCTCCACTATGGTCTAATTAGGATCAAGGATGAGTTTCAGTTTATTCCAGGATCAGTCTTAGAAGAAGAAAGGGGGAGGCTGGCTGATAGCATGAACCCCATAAGTCAGAGCTCAGATGGACTGACATGGAGAATCTCCATACAGAGGACATTCTCAGCTTCTGGGGGGATTTACCCCCTTTCTTGTCGCGTCTGCTGCGCGGCCTGTGTCCGAGAACGTGCGGAGGGTGTCGGGGATTGACAACACAGAGACTTGTTCAACGATGTAAAGAAAACTTTAAGCAGGCCCCAAAAAGGTTCAAGAAAACTTCCTAAGAAAGGCTCCCACCAGAGAAGCTTCTGCTCTCCCCCTCCCTGGCTGGTTCTGCTCTGACCCCAGAAACTGATCTGGGCGTGGCAGAAGAGGTGGTTAGTCTTTGGACAAGGTCGAGGTCAGG